GAGCCCCGTTTCTTTTTGCGAAAACGATTATTAATTTTTTATTTTTTTTTTATTTTTTTTCTCTTCTCCGTACGCTCGTCCGAGTCTACCTACAATCGCCGCACGGCCATTATTATATACATTATTATTATTATTATTATACGCCATAACAGTAAAATACTATTATCTCGTACAGTCGTACGGCTATAGTTTGCTATCGGTTAGATACTGTACGCGCGGCCGCAGCACGACGGCCGCGCAATACATTTTAAATAATACGTGCATAATAATATTATTATATTTTTCCGTTTTTCCACCGTTTTTTTTTTTTTCGGTTTTTCGAATTTTATGAGAAAACTTCGGGTAAAATTTAAAAATTACCTCCTTAAAGTACTACCCCCCCCCACACTAATTTTCTCTCAGAAATGACAGTACACTCAAATACCGGAACAAGATTTCTGGTAAAAAAGTCGCACATAGATAAGAAAAAAAAAACATCTTTATAAAACCAAAGCTTCTTCGCTCCACTCAGAATCTAAAACTAAGATATTATATTTGTGTTTTTTTTTTTTTAAATTATGATGTTAAATTATGAATTAAATTATGTTTTGTTTGAGTTTGAGTGTAAAAATTCTGTATATCTGGGCATTTTTTTTAATTTTCTGTAATATTATAAGCCTAATAAAAAATATACAGGTTATGTGAAATCCAGTTTTATCTGATAATTGATACTTAAAATGCTAAACAAGCTTAGAGTTAAAATCGATACTTAAAGTACATATAGTATGCTATATTTTATACATTATACTTACATAAATCAAAACAGATATTTAAAAAAATTAATTTCAATTGAAAATAAAACGAAAAAAAATTTAATAACTATTTGAATCAAAAATAGTATGTACGCTAAACGATAACTCATGTAATGTTATAGTTATCAAAACAAAATTAGTCAACTAATGGTGGACAAATCTGTCATCCAATAAGAAGCGAGACACTGTGTATGGCCACACTCTCTATCAAAGCATTTTAGTATTATTAACACAAGAGCCTTCCAAAAAAAAAAGCAACTTATAAGTTGCTTTTTTAGCACAAAAAATGTATTATTATTATGACAAATTCACTCGTCAAATTGTTATTAAACTGACGTCACGTCCCGCATTTACGGGGTTGAGTATAGGCAATTTACTCGACATATTTGGAAAAATGAAATTTTTATCAACACATAACATACTGAAATTTTATTTAAAATACAAGTTCCCCTTCTAAAAATCACAAAGAGTTCCATTTATTGTGTAATTGTGAAAGTAACAAAACAATTTTTACGGAGAAAGAAATTTTCATTACAAAAATAATAAAAGTGAATATGCACTATGCAACGTTGATTTTAGTTGTTTGATATCAACAATAAATACCAAAATATTTATATGAGTTTGAACAACTTAAAATAGTCAGATTTTAGAAAATGATTTGTTTAGATTCTGAGCGTTTTTTGATAATTTTTGAACTATTTATCGGCATTTGACATTTTCGTCGTAAAAATCACGGTATTTTAAAAAATGGTTAATTAAACAACATTGCTTAAAGTCGTATTTTGTTACCAAACAAAACCGAAAATTATCAACGATAATGAACAATAATTACAATTTTATACTGAATATTAATAGAGGTGCTATATTTTAGTCGACAAATACGTAATCCGATCCGTATGGGGGACATTAAAATGCTACAGAAGCTGCGTTTTTAAATGAGTACCTATACTACTACTTCTTTCAAAGTCACGGAATTCTTAAGAAAACTAACCTTGTTAATAATTTCTAACGCAGGAACAAATTTGGGACCCTAGTTATCAATTCGTAATGTAAATTGTACACAGGTAAATAACTCGTGATGTTGAAACCTTTATTTATTTAAAATAATAAAATAAACAACATAGGTACTTAACTGAGGCCGTAGTTTACTACTGTTTACTCTGTGTAACGTCAGTTTAGATGCATAATATTGTCTTGTTGGACGCTGAGGCAAGTTTTATAAAGTCAAGTGTTAGAATATCGAGTTTTAGAAAAGCCATGTTTCAGGTTTAGAATCCATCAAATGACGTACCCCGATACTGGCCGTGGGTGGAGGGGGAATGAACTGTTTCGAAAACAATTTTTAATCAAATACTGCCCGAGGTTGTGTCTATGCTGAATATATCTGAGAAAAAGTATTATTTTTTTTTTATTTCAAATATTCCGAATACTGTATTCGGAATATTTGTTGCGGTCATGCGCGGTAAAAGGTCGAAATCAGTGAATTCCGGCCCGGTAAATGGTTTGGCTGTAAGTTAGTTGCGCGGCCCGATGAACTCTTTTTATCTAGAAAAAATAGAAAAAAGTTGCC